TTTTTGGTTTTTCGAGACAGGGTTTCTCTGTGTAGCTTTGCGCCTTTCCTGGGACTCACTTGGTAGTCCAGGCTGGCCTCGAACTCACAGAGATCCTATTTTTAGTTTTTAAAGGAATGGATTTAGAGTGAGAATGTGGCAGTGTTGCTCAGTGGTAGAGGGTAAGCTTACCATGCTTCAGGCCACAGGTTTAATCCCAGCACAAATAAAAAAGAACAAAAGGAAGGAAGGAGATGAAAAGGGAAAAAGATTAAAGTGTTTTTTTGTTTTGTTTTGTTTTCAAAGTTGGGGCTGGAGCTGCAACTCAGCAGAGTGCTTGTTTAGCACCTGGGCTCTGCCCCAGCAACACCTAGCTGGGCATGGTGGTTCCCATCCATAGTTCCAGCACTTGGGAGGCAGAGGCAGGAGGATCCAGTCATCTTTGGCTACCTAATAGTGAATTTGAGAACAACCTATGATACTTGAAGTTCTGTCTCACAAAATGACAAATAGGCTGGGCGAAGTGGCGCACGCCTTTAATCCCAGCACTCAGGAGTCAGAAACAAGCAGATCTCTGTGAGCTGGAGGCCAGCCTGGGCTACAGAGCTCCAGGGTAGCAAGGGGTATATATAGAGGGGAAAGGAAGGGCTGGAGAGATGACTTAACAGTTAAAAACACTTGTTCCTGCAAAATACCAGGCTTCAATTTCCAGCACCCACATTACAGCTTACAAGCATCCACAGCACTGTGGTATGCATACATATGAGGAAAACATTCAAATACATAAATCTAAATTTTTAAAAATACTTTAAAAACAAAAACAAATAAGGGGACAGAAAGATAGCTCAGCTGGTAAAGGCACTTGCTGCTAAGCCTGACAACCTTGGAACTGACCCCAGAACTTGTTCTCTGATCTCCACACTTGGGCAGCGGCAAGTGCAAACACACACAATAAATAAATAAAGCAAGCTCATTATCCAATGCAGAATTAGCTACATTTTGTGGATTTTTCATTTAGATAAATAATCATTCTGCTGTATCTTTTATAACTCACTATTCTCATTTCCTACTTGGTGTTCCTTTAAAACTTGGTTTTAAAATAGAGATATTCTTGTTTTCCTGTTGGGTCAACAGCAACATAGTAAATGGTTGGAATTGGATGTGCCTGGATGCTGTTGGGATGAGAAACTTGAACACACTATTAGATAGTAACCATTCTGGTTCTAAAATCCTTGTGGTATATTTCTATAAATAGGTATGAGCATTCTCCAGGGAAAGGATGACATATTTTTGGACCTGAAGCAGAAATTCTGGAATACATATAAGGTAAGACTGGCTTTTGAAATTGTAATCATATCTTTTTAAATATTTTAAACATTAAAGAACACTTACTTTAGGGGTTATTGAGAAGACTCAGTGGGCAAAGGAATTTGCTGCCAAGCCTGAGGACCTGAGTTCTATTCCTGGGATTTACATGTTGATAGGAGAGAACTAACTCTAACGGTTGTCCCTGAACTCCACATACTTGGTATGTCCTGCCTGCACTTGTGAATGAATGTTCTCACAAGTAGGCACACAGACAGACAGATATCTCTGTCTCTCTCTCACTTTCTCTCTCTCACACACACACTCTAAATGAATGTGATTTTTTTTTTTTATTGTCGGACTGAGGACTGAACCCAGGGCCTTGTGCTTGCTAGGCACTCGCTCTACCACCGAGCTAAATCCCCAACCCCAAATGTGATTTTTAAAAATAAACATTTTAATACAACTTTTTTCCCCACTGAAGATTGAGCTTATGCCTAATGACAAGCACTGAGTTCCATGCCTGCCTCCTTGACTGCTTGCTTTGAGATGGGGTCTCATACAACCCAAACTGGCCTTGAATTCTTGATCCTCCTGCCTCCACCTCCCAAGAGCTGAGATTACAGACATGTGCCGTCATGCTGAGCTCCCTAGCTTTTCAAAATTAATGACATTATTTATTTAGTGGAATGATGGGGTTTAGGAGTGTGGAAGTCAGAGGACAATGTGTGGGAGCCAGGGATTGAACTCAGGTCATCAGACTTAGCAGCAAGCTCCTTTCACTCACTGAACCATCTTGCTAGCCCACCTAGCTTTTCTTTTAGTCTCTTCTTTCCCTTTTCCTCCCTTCTTTCTTTTTTTTCCTCCCCGCTCCTCCCCTTCTCCCCTCCCTCCCGCCTTCCTTTCTTTCTTGAATCATGGACTCTAAGTTGACCACATGGCATTCAGTTCACTGTAGCTCAGCCAGCCATGAACTGTTGATTCCTGGGATCCTCAACGTTTTGAGGAGCTGGGATTACAGTTGAGGCCACCAGGACCAGCTTAAAACAACTATGATGAAATCAGGCTTACAGTTTGGTTGATCTGGGAATACAATATTTTGAAAAAGATCTGTCTTAATTTGTTGTAGTTTGTTTTATTTTGAAAATGAACATCTTGTAATGTTGCCAAATTAGCGTACAACTTTTGGACTCAAGTAGGCTTCCTGCCTCAGCCTCCCAAGTAGCTGAGACTGTAGGTCAGTGCACTAAATGTTTCTAGCTTGAATATGTTGGGATGGATACATTTGAGGAGGCCTCAGGGCATCTACTTCTCAGGGATGGGAAATAAACACTATCACTGCATTCACACAGGTGTTCACGATGATTTCTGACTTCATTAGATTTATTCTTACAAGCAATCACAATTTATTCAATAGGTTTCCAAACCTATTCACAAAACAGGATTGTAGGCTGTGGGTCGGCAAGGATTCGTTCCCACTGCCAGTGCATCCAGGTGTGAGTTCTGTTGAGTCTTTGTGAAAAGAGCCTTCTGGATGTCACAGAGGTGTTTCCCGAGATTATTCCTAGTGAAGCAAATCCCCTGTTGTGTTCTTTATTCAGTACAAAGATATATGTTGCTGTTGATCCAACACTACCCATCATTCAGTGAAGGCTTATTGTCTTCAGGCCTGGCAAAGTCAGTGACATTTCTCATCTCTGACACAGCAATTCAATTAATAATAACAATCAGATAGATAAATTTTTAGGATTCCAGGATATTCCTAGTATCTTACAGGTACTTAATCCTCTATTCAGAGCAGTGCTGAGGGGTAGAGCTATAGCTTGGAGGTAGAAGTGTTTGTTTAGTGGGAGTGGGGAGGAGAGCTCTCAGTTTAAAAACACAAAAGCCAAAACAAAACGAAACCATATTGAGCTCTCACCTGCACTGTTTCTAGAATCTTCTGATGAATGGTTATAAGCCCCAGAAGCAACATTGCTCATTTGATGATTGAAGGCAAGGGGGAGATTTGAACTGTAGAACCCCCTGAATCACTATAGTTAGGGACATTTCCTGCAAGGAAGGGGTTTAGAACTCTTTTTATTTTTTTTTACTTCTTTTGGTTTTTTGAGACAGGGTTTCTCTGTGTAGTTTTGGTGCCTGTCCTGGGTCTTGCTCTGTAGACCAGTCTCGCCTTGAACTCACAGAGATCCACCTGGCTCTGCCTCCTGAGTGCTGGGATTAAAGGTGTGCACCACTGCCACCCAGCTGGGTTTAGAACTCTTGCTACTTCTCTTGGAATAGAAATTGTGCCTCCACAGAGACTTTGGAATGTGATTTCCTTGTCCTTTATTTTAGAAGGGGGAGTATCAAGAGAGATACACACATATGACATGTTTTATTAATTTATATATTTACTGGTTTTATTCTTTGTTTTGAAACATGGTCTCACTATGTAGCCCAGGCTGGCCCAAACCTACTCTGTACTCAAGGCTGGTCCCAAAATGTACAGTAATCCTCATGCCTCAGCCTCCTGAGTGCTGAGATTATAGGCATTGTAGGCCACCACAATGTGCTGTACATCTAATGTTAGAAAGAACAGGAAGCAGGATTGGAAGTGCAAGTCATTGGCAATCTCCTCCCGCAGTGTTGCCTTGGGTGCAGAGTCTTGGGAATCCTGGCTTATCTTCTGTTTTTATCCCTTTTGGGGACTGGGATCAGACCCAAGTCCTCACGTATGTTAGGCAAGTAATGTATCACTCCCTACTTACCCTAGTCCTACCTCTATTATTGTCATTATTGAAACAGGTCTCATGTAGCTAAGGTTGTCACTGAGCTGAGGATGACCTTGTGTGCTGGGATTTGAACCCAGAGATTTGTGGATGCAAGGCACTCTACCAACTGAGCCATATCCTCAGCCTTATTTACTTATTTTTTGCAGTGCTAGAGAATGACTTTGGGCTTCAAGCATGCTAGACATGCATGCTACCATTGAGTTATACCCAGCTCTTTTTTGAGACTTGGAACTTGCAATCCTCCTGCTTTAGTTTCCCAAGTAGCTGGGATCACACATTCTCCTAAGTAGCCTGTGCCTCATTCCCCTCCATTTTCTTTCCCCTTCCATTCCATTCCCTCTTTTTCCCACAGTGCTGGGGCTGGGATTCAGGGCCCAGTGCATGCGCCATCTTAGCCTCTCTGATTCTGCCTGAGCTGCCCTGATGTGCTGGGGTTGGGCGGTGAGTCTTCCCAGCACTGGTGTTCACCAGGTGTCACTCAGCACTGTACTGTGAGCAACGGCCTGTTCTTCTGTCCCAGCCACTTCTTTATTGTGGGTGTGTACTCTGGGGTTCTTGTTTTCTTCCAGGCTTTAAAACTCGTTACTGGGTTTAATTCTTTTTGGTGCTCGCAGCATTCCAGAGTTGGTCAGTGGGAGGTCCTTCAAGCTGATTTCTGTGCCCCTACAGAAAGACCCCTGTCTTACACACACACACGCACACACACACACACACACACACACACACACACACACACACACACACATTCTACCTCCTAGTGGCTAGGATTAAAGATTTGCCATCACGCCTGGCGCATGTATGTATTTTCTAAAAATTAATTATTGATAGTTAAATTAATACTTATAACCCCAGCACTCAGAAGGCTGAGGCAGAAGGACTGCCATGAGTTTGAGATCAAACTGAGGTACAGAGCAAGACCCAGTTACAAAAGCAGATAAATTAAAAGAGAAAGATTTTAAAAATTAAGAGGATGGCGAGATGGCTCAGTGGGTAAATGGGCCTGAGTTTAGTCTCCAAGATTCCCGCAAGTATCTTCACACACACACACACACACACACACACACACACACACACACACACACACTAAACAAATGTAAGAAGAAATTTGTAATGTCAGCCAATCTTGTTCTGTACCAAGAGATAGCATAGATATATTGTTTGCATATTGTTCCATAAAGAACTGTTTGGAGCCAGACGGTGGTGGTGCACACCTTTGATCCCAGCACTCGGGAGGCAGAGGCAGGTGGATCTCTGTGAGTTCAAGGCCAGCCTGGTCTTCAAAACAAGTTCCAGATAGCCAGAACTACACAGTGAAACCCTGTCTCAAAAAACCCAAACCAACCAACCAACCAACCAAACAAACAAACAAACAAAAAGAATTGTTTGGATAAATCAGCTTTTTTTGTGCATGCCTTTAGTTCCAGCAGTGGAGAAGCAGAGACAGGTAAATCTGTGTGAGTTCTAAGCCAGCTTGGTTTATAGAGTGGGCGAAACTCCAGGCCAACCAATGATACATAATGATACCCTATCTCAAAAAAAATTTTTTTTGGGGGGCGGGGGTTGGAATATACTTTGAAAAATTCACTGATAAAAACATATGTATATTATATGCTGTTACTCACTTGGAAATTATAATATATAAATACATGTGATTATTTTTAAAGTACCTATTTCTTCCAGAATTTCTGACTGAAATTTTATTCTGTACTTATAACTAACAAAAGGTGTACTGGCTTACAAGTTGTGGCCTCAAGTCTCCACCTGCTCTATTCTCAAGGTATCAAGATGTCTTCATTTAATCAGCTCAGAGTACAATCTAGTCCTACTGGGCACCCTACGTGCCTGGCATTTCTTAGTCTCTTATAGAATGAACTGTGCTTGCTTTGTAACTAGACAGCATTCTAATGAGGGTTTTCTTTATTCCAGAGTGGTCTGATGTACTGGCCTTTTGTGCAGGTGAGTGCAAATCTATAGAGAATCTGCGGCTGGGTCTTGGCACAGTGGTAGAGCATTTGCCTAGCATGTGTTAGGCCCTGAGTTTAGTCCCTAGCGTGGAATAAAAACAAAACCCAAAACAAACTCTGTTACCTGTCCATTCCTAATAGACTCTCTTTGCATTGCAGCTAACCAACTTCAGCCTTGTCCCTGTGCACTGGAGAACAGCTTATACAGGACTGTGTGGTTTCCTCTGGGCCACCTTCCTCTGCTTTTCTCAGCAGAGCGGTGATGGCACAGTGAAGTCCCTGTTCATCTTCTTTCGCAGGAAAGAGGTGGGTGACGGGCCTCCAGAGAAGTGAGGAGTCCAGGACTCCCTTCCAGACTCAGTTACATTTCTCCATTGCTCTCAATCACCTGCAGCAGGCCTGCTTCACTGAGCAGTTACTATGGGCTCCATAGGCCACTTGTTTCAAAATGATTGTTTTAACTGTTATCCAAACCCTTCCTATTCATTCCAGTCTGAAAGTCTTATTTTCCTGATGTTTTCACATCTCTAGTGCTTTGGTTAAAATTACAACAGTGACAGGTGATATTTTAGAGTTATTAATTCGTTTATTCTAATATAAGACCAGTTGCATTAAAAAAAACCCTCTAGTTTTGATTGTTTATATTTCTAGCCTAAACTCTCAGGCAATTTCCTACACACTTTGGGATCAAATTGCCTTTTGTCCTTATAGTAAGTTTCTATCTATATAGAATTCAGCCAAGAAGATTGAATAACCAGCCTCCTCAGATACTCAATAATAATTTATTATACACCAACAATAAAATTCTATAAGCAGATGTTTCTATCTTCAAAAAGGAATAATGTTGGATATCTGCTATAGAATATTTTATTGTTGCTGTCTACTTGTTTTCTTTCTAAGATAGGGTCTCTCTTTGTGTAGCTCAGGCTGCCCTGGAACTTACTATGTACCTACCCCAGGTTGGGCTTCAGTCTTCCAAGTGCTGAGATTACAGGCATGAGCCATCATGTCTTACTCCTCTACTTTTATATTATACCATTCAAGTGTACTACTCTTTAATTGATATCTTCTAGCTTTGAGAAGATACAATTGACAAGCACTCTAATTCCTACATACATGAAATAAAATATTTGGCTTCTTAATGAACTATATTAAATGAAAATTCTAGAAAACTAATCATTTTCTTCCTCTCTAAGGAAGAACTCTAATCTATACTCTACCAGTGTACACAGTTTGCAGTAATCCTCTTGCCTCTGCCTTCCAAATGCTGGAACTACAACATGAGCCATGCCTGGCTTTGTGTGTGTGTGTGTGTGTGTGTGTGTGTGTGTGTGTGTGTGTGTGTGTGTGTGTTTATGGTACTAGGGATAGAACATAGAGTCTTGCACATGCCAGGCAAAAGCTCTGTCACTAGCTACACCCCAGGATGCTGACAGTATTCTTTTATAATTCAGTGCTTTAAAGTGGACTCAAGAAACATCAGCCAGTCTTTCACATTTATTCAGTTTATCTAATCTCAGCCAGCCACCATCAGGTTTCAAAATTATATAAATAACAAGGTGTGGAGGTGTGTGCCTGTCTACTTGGGAGACTAATGGAGGAGGATCACTTCAGCCTAGGAGTTCAAGACTGCACTGGACAAAACAGCAAGTCCCTGTCTCAAAACTACAAAAATAAAAAATTTAAGACTATGACTATCTCAAGAAATTTCAACAATCTCTCCTAAAAATGACCCCCATGGGTCTGTTGCTTCTACTGGCATACTTGACAAATTTCAAGACGTGAAACACTGAATTCTGAGTTTATCTTGAGAATGTACATTTAAGGTCATTTTTAGAATTCATACTTAAATTTCTAAGCAAGTAATTTATATGGTTTGTAATATGTTTGTACTGTCTAAGTGACTAAGTTATTGGAATGTAATAGATATGAATGTATTTTATGTTAGGGCAATAGTAAGAACATTTCTTGGTGACTGTATGCTTTTGAAAGTTGGCTGACTTTAGTGGCCTGCCTGTGTTCAGTAGGTGGGAATGGGATCCCTGGGGCTTTACTTGAGCAGCTGAATGGAATTAATGAGCTCAGGATTCAGCAGGAGATATTGCATCAGTTTGGATGAGAATGGCCCCCATTGGCTCATAGATTTGAATACTTAATCATCAGGGAGTGGAACTGTTTGAAAGGATTAGGAACTGTGGCCTTGTTGGAGTGGGTGTGGCCTTATGGAAGAAGTGTGTCACTGGGGGTGGGATTTGGGGTTTCTGAAGCCCAAGCCAGGTCCAGTGTCTCCCTCTCTTCCTGTTGCCTGAGGATCCAGTTGTAGAACTCTCAGCTGTTTCTCCAGCACCATGTCTGCCTGCATGCCACCATGCTTCTCACCATGATGAAGGGAGCAGGTAAAAGCACCGTGGCCTGAATACTGCCATTTTGACTTCAGACTCCATTTTACTTGCAGGGTTAAATAAAGTTCTGGTTCCCAAGTCCTAGGAGAGCTGGGAACTTTCCAATAGCTGATCCTACCTCTCCCTTAAACAATAGAAATAATCACTATGCATCTTTAGTTCCCTAGAAACAATATGACTGTTCGTAACAACAGAAGGAACAAATGAATCTGATTGGTTGGACTGAAAGGCTTGCATTGTATATTGATTAACAATGAAGGAACACCCTAATTGCTAAATCCTGATTGGTGAAAATTGTAACTGTAACTTGGCAACAAATGTTTGTGATTTTTGTGCTTATAAACCCCACTTCTGCCCTTTCTTGGGGCTGTCAGGAGAAACAAGGCTCCTAAGTCCTTGTCCTGCAGCCCTGATCAATCAGTGCCCCGTTTATGTGGTGACTTAATAAAATCTTTGGAACCCATAAGTGTTGCCTCTCTCTTTCTTCATGGTGCATAATGGGCTAGGTATGACACAATAAAGGACTAGACCTCTGGAACTGTAAGCAAGCCCTAATTAAATGCTTTCCTTTATAAGAGTTGCTGTGTTCATAGTGTCTCTTCACATCAATAGAACACTGACTAAGACAATCAGTAATGGGGAGAGAGATCAAAGAAAGGTACCCTGTGTGAACCTCTGGCCTCCATGGGCACACACATACCTGTGAACATCCATACACATACATGCATACTATCTTCACACACACACACACACACACACACACACACACACACACACACACACACACACAGATGATGATGTGCCTGACCTCTGACTTTGACACACACACATACATGCACACAACTATGTAACTATGTATATGTGTAAATATACAGATACAGAATGTACTGAGATGTAGCTCAGTGGCACAATTCTTGCCTAGGGGTTATTCAAAGAAGGAGAAAGGGCAGAAGACAGGATAAAGGGAGGCAGATAGAGGAAGGAAGGACTAACAATATTCTCTGGCCATTTCTCAGCTTTGTAAAAATGTAGTGCTTCGGTGCAGTAGCTTTGTAATTAAAAGCCTTGTTGGAAGTTACTGTCTTATCCATATCATAGTATAGTGAGAATTAGACCATTTGAGAGCTGGTGACAATTTTTGTAAGAACTGAGTTTGAGAACTTGTTTTAGTATTTCCATGTTTTTCTCAGTATGTGTTTAGTGCCTACAGCAGAGTCAATGAAATTTGTCAGTTAGGGATTTGTTTTTGGGAAAATTTAATTGCTATCTGGTCTGTAGCAGAAGAAATCATATAATGACTAAAAGAAATTAGAGATACTTGGCTGGTATGGTGTCTCATTCCTGTCATAACAGCAGGGAGACACAGGCAGGATGACCAGGAGTTCAAAGTCATCCTCAGCAAGTTCAAGGCCACCTTGGGCTACATGAGCCCCTGTCTGAAAGACAAAGCAAAACCAAAACAAAAGCCAATTTAGAAAAGAGAAGAAAAGAAAAGGAGGGCCTGGAGAAGTGGCTCATTGGTTAAGAGCGTTGTCTGCTCTTGCAGAGGATGGCGGTGGGGTTGGTTCCCAGCTCCCACATGGCAGCTCACAACCTCTTGTAACTCCAGTTCCAGGAGATCCAACACCCTTGGCTCCTCAGGCACCAAACATGCACTCAACATACCCATACAGATAAAATAAAAATAATTTTTAAAAAAATCTCTGAGAAAGGTCAGGTGTGCTAGTCAGATCTCTGAGTTCAAGGCCAGCCTGCTCTACATTGTTGAGTTCCAGGTCAATCAGAGCTGCAAAGTGACACTAAGAAACACAGTTACTAAAAGTTATGGTTACAGTGTAAAGAAGAAAACACTTTAACATTCTAGTACTTCACCAACAATTGTTACTTTTGTTTTTAACCATTTGAGGAGGGAAATTTTCTTCCCCATTTCCTTTACATTAAAATCTAGAGTTAAAGAAAATTAACTTCTGCCTTTGGAGTGTATCTAAACAGGGCTTTCATATTAACTATGTAACTGCACTGGACCAAATTAAATGTATCTCTTCTAAAGACATAGATGACCCAAGGTACAGTTCCTAAGTCATAAGCCCTTCTGACTGCCTTGATTACTGTTTTCCTTTTAAAGACCATCATCCTTCATGATTGATTTGGAGCTATGAAAAAATTACTATTTTTTTCTACACAGGCCATTTACTTCTAGCTCATTTGAATTTTATATACATTTCTACAGTGTTCGCCAAAACACATTATGTCTAGAACACACTTGACATATCCAGGAGACAGCTTTCATTTACAATTAGTTTCATGGTAGCTAGAGTTTTCCTGCCTTGCCCATTCAGGACAATCTTTGTCACCCGCCAGTCCCACAGCCACTCAAACCCAACCAAGTAAACACAGAGACTTATATTGCTTACAAACTGTATGGCCGTGGCAGGCTTCTTGCTAACTATTCTTATAGCTTAAATTAATCCATTTCCACAAATCTATACCCTGCCACGTGGCTCGTGGCTTACCGGCATCTTTTCATGCTGCTTGTCCTGGTGGCGGCTGGCAGTGACTCCTTCTGCATTCCTGTTCTTTCTTTTCTCCTCTCTGTTAGTCCCTCCTATACTTCCTGCCTAGCCACTGGCCAATCAGTGTCTTATTTATTGACCAATCAGAGCAACACATTTGCCATACAGAACATCCCACAGCAGTTCATTGTTGTTGATTTTTTGTTTTTTAAATCTTTTGGCTCTTTACTTTTTTTTGTCTTTGGGGGGCCTGCCACCCAGCTCTCAAATAAATCACGTGTAGGCTTATTCTTTCTTATAATGCCTGGCCTTAGCTTGGCTTATTTCTAGCCAGCTTTTCTTAACTCAAATTATCTTGTCTACCTTTTGACTCTGGGCTTTTTATCTTTATCTGATATACCTTTCTTTATTTTGTACTCTGTAGCTTGCTGTGTAGTTGGGTGGCTGACCCCTGGAGTCCAACTCCATCTCTTGCTTCTCCATCTCTCTTGCTTTTTTCTCCTATTTATTCTTTCTGCCTGTCAGCCCTGCCTTTCCTTTCTCCAGCCTTGCTATTGGCCATTCAATTCATTATTAGACCAGTCAGGTGTTTTAGACAGGCAAAGTAACACAGCTTTACAGAGTTAAACAAATGCAACATAAAAGAATGCAACACATCTTTACATCATTAAACAAATGTTCCACAGCATAAACAAATGTAACACATCCTTAATATTCTACAACATTTCCCCCTTTTTGTCTAAATAAAAATGAAAATTTTTAACTTAATACAGTGAAACTATATACAATAAAAACAGTTATCAAGTAAGAATTACAGTTACAATATTCAGTCCATTGTATTTAGCAAATTTAGAGAAAACATTCCACCATTCATCCCATCTTAGTGACTCCAAAGTTTTATACCTAATTTACTATCTATCATAACTAAGGAAAACTGAAACTCTAATTATTTAGTCTTTTTTTTTTTTGGTTTTTCGAGACAGGGTTTCTCTGTGTAGCTTTGCGCCTTTTCCTGGAACTCACTTGGTAGCCCAGGCTGGCCTCGAACTCACAGAGATCCGCCTGGCTCTGCCTCCCGAGTGCTGGGATTAAAGGCGTACACTAATTATTTAGTCTTTAACTCCATCAAAGAAGGGTGTACTATTACCTGAGTAAACAGGAAGTGTATTCCAAGCAACTTCCAAAATTCTAGAAATGACAGAGACATCTGACTGTCTGAACAGTCATCCAAAGTTCCTCTGCAATGTTGGGGCATCCATCTTCAGCCTACAGGCCTAAAATATATGACTTTTCTGTGAAGCAGTAAATTTGAAGTCAAAGTTCATCAGTCACTTTCGTCTGTGTCTTGCAGAATGTCTGGCAGACTCTTCCATGAAGCAGTCATTTTGAAGGACTGTCCTGCCTTGTCTTGGCAAAGTTCAACAGTCTTTTTCCTGTGTCCCTGCTTGTCCAGCCTTACTATGCTGTCAGCAGTCAAAAGCAAGAGCAGTTTCTTGCCCAGTGGCTCTCCATGTCACAGTGAAAGTAAACTCTGTATGGAGTGTCTTCATTGGTGCTGCCAGGAGCAGATGTCTCTCACTGTCATGAAAAACTTTAGGTTATTAAACATCTTAAATGCCATATTCTGTAGATTTTTGAAGTGTTTGAAAATCATCTATCTAAAATATACCTGCTTAACCTTGAAAAATATACCTAATGTGATTACAAGCTTGATTATTACAGGTTAACTACTAACCTCATTTATTAATTACACATTGCATTTTTAAATGAGCAGAATAAGCACAATACCCTAAACAAGAGTAGAATCTTGCATTCAGTATAACAAAAATAACTTTAAATTTATATCAATATACCAAAACCCATGCCAATACAAAATATCTGAGATTAATGGTTGTCTTTTTATCCTATATTCCTATATTCCCCTAAATGATAACAATCATCCATAACCCACCAAAAACCAAAGACCACCCATCCCATCACTTGGGAATGTGGGCATCATGTTCTCCAGACTGCTTTCTGCTGTCTGTGATCAAAGACATCTTTAAGGGTCCCAGAGAAAATTTGAGAGAATGGCCAAGTTCTGGGAAGATCAGCAGTAACCTTTGTTGATATTTATCACCTGTCAAGATTCAGGAGGTCTCCCTTGATCAAATCTGATCCATATAACCTAGAACAAATCCATAGCCTCTTGTTTCCTGTGGAAACAAAAGCAAAACTTCTTCTCCAAAGCATTTTTGACTTCCATTTTAAAGTTAAGGCATTCTTAAAATATCTAGATTGGTTTATTTCAGTGGTCCTTTCAATCCCATGTCTCTTAGCAGCTGTCATTTGCTTATCAACAATAAAAAAAAGTTCAGAATCAACACAATAACATACAGGATCCAGACTCCCTGTGTATTTCCCATCTTAAGATGATTTTTTATTTTAAATTAATTTTACTCTTTCTTTAAGATACTATTACTTTCAAACTATTTCTTTCTTTCTATGATTGTCTATACCCATTTTCTTTTCTTCCTTTTTTTTTTTTTTTTTTTTTTTTGGTTTTTCGAGACAGGGTTTCTCTGTGCAGCTTTGCGCCTTTCCTGGAACTCACTTGGCCTCAGGCTGGCCTCGAACTCACAGAGATCCGCCAGGCTCTGCCTCCCAAGTGCTGGGATTAAAGGCGTGCGCCACCACCGCCCGGCTTCTTTTCTTCCTTAAGCCATTGTTAAATACAATGGAATCTATTTAGAGGCTTTTTCCATATGGACCTCTTTTACTGTGTACCTTTAGTCTTTTTTGACCGTGTGAGCAAACTTTAAACTGCTAAGCTACAGCTGGGCCCTCTGAGAGGCTTTGGTGGCTGGCTCCGCCCACTTTTAGGTCCACGAGAGATGAGCCTAAAGTTCGAAGCCTGGTCAGAGGTGCATTTGATCAGGAACTGCATTCAGCCCCTGACCTGTGGAATGCTAGT